CCTGCCGCCTTCTTTGTTCACTCAACATAAGGAGAGGGCTTCCCATATTATTAAAATATTTTTTTAAAAGATGTGTGTTACTCGTGTCATATGTTACACACGTTCACGGTACAGAGATGAGAGAAAACCATCAGAAAGCCGGGTGCTTCCACACCCCTCACGTGTGATCTTCAACTATCTCCACCTTCCTGCAGAGGCAGGGCTCAGAGACAGGAAGGAGCACCCCGGGGTGGCTGACCTCCCAAGCCCTGGTGCCACTCACCAGCTGGGTGACCTTGGAACAGCAGTGCGTCTCAGATCTGTTGGGCCCAAAGTTTGCATCACCTTAGGTATTCTCCTGAAGAAGAACAACAAAGGCCTTACCTGTGAAAACGCTGCAACTCGCAATCCAGCAAATAAATTGCCCAGGGCCCCAGAAGGGCGGGTGTCAGAGAGCAGGCTGAGCTTGAATTCCACGATCTCAAGGTCAATCCGAGGTACTCACCTGTGAAGTGGGGACACCAAAAGTACTGACCTCAGAGAAGTTATGAAAATTAAGGCACTGCATCGAAAAGCGTTTGGTGACGGCCAGGCAACACTAGCTAGCACCATTAATTACCAACCTCACTCAGGCATGCCCTTGAGTCTGGAGTCACTTGTGCTGTTTCTTAGACTCTAAATTATTTATGTGTGTATTTAAGAAAGTTATTCTTTCAAGGCTATTCAGCCTGGCTCATTCATGATTCATTTAATAAACATTTATTGAGCTCCTAGTAGATACCACCTACTGCACAGGCCACTGGTCTCAGTAAATTCTCACCCCCCATTCACTGGAAACTCAAATGCCCCTCCTCTCGTCTCTCCAGGACCCGAGGCAGGACACTCACCTCACTGGCTGTGTGACTAGTTTGGACAGGAACAGGGTTCCGGGGAAAGGACTTCCCTCTCCCTGCCACCTGTTCATCCCCCCACCCCCCCTTTTTTTTTTTGGCAGACCTGGGGTTTGAACTCAGGGCCTCACGATTGCTAGGCAGGTGCTCTACCACTTGAGTCACTCCACCAGCCCTCCTGTTTATTTCTATATCAACCCTTTTCTCTGTGCTCAGGGATTTTAGGTGAGCTGGCTGAAAGTGAAGCTTGTTTTCACAGGAGGGTTTTGGGTTCTCTCGATACCTATTTAAGTTTGCAAAAATAAGCATGATACATGCAAAATAGTTTGAGGCTGTCTGGAAATAATAATATTAATGATAATCCAGCATGTTTGCTTTTGTGAAATAACTTTACCTTTGCATATTTTATGGCAACTGAAATTCTATCTCCAGACCATACTCCGCAAGCTTTTAACATGATCACATCAAGAAGTCTTTAGGGAATGTACCCCATATCAGGAAAAGGAGTTAAGCTCTGGGGTCCTGCAGGAGCCTGGGAAAGTCTGACCAGAAAACCATGGGGCTAGAGTGTCTATATATATAAAATCTATTTAAAAACTGAACTGCGTTTTGCAAGTTTTATGATGTCTTGATTTAGTAAAGCCATTAATTGAGGATTAAAATTTCCAAATTGTTCTTCTCTAAAAACACTGACAGACATCACACTGAGCCATCAGCGGTACTGATACAAGCAGAGGAGGCAGGTGGCGGGAGGTAAGGCACCAACCACCTTTGCCTGGCGCTTCATTTGCCATCATTAGACACCTCGCCAAACAACCTAGGAGGCAGGTGGAACGTGGATAGTCAGCACTGAAGCCCAGCTGGCACCGGGAGCCAGATTTGTCAGACATCACAACTTGCCACACTTGTCACCTCCATACTCTGTGTGTGTGTGTGACCTTCAATTCTGTGCCTTCAGAAACCTTGGGGACCTCTGAATAGATTTTTCTGAAGTGCTGCCATCTGTGGAGGGGACCTGGACTCCCTGGACCACCAGGGCACCTGGGGATGGGCAAGAAGTGTGCATTTATTGATCATTTGCGGTTACAAATACCGTTCCCACTCGTTATCCAGCTGGGAAGAATGTCACTACACATGTCATCTTGCTCAAGGATTGCATTCTCTTTCTTTGTATGAGCCTGGGACCCCAGGACTCTGTCAAACATCCTCTTTTTTTTTTGACAGCACTGGGGCTTGAACTCAGGGCCTACACATTGAGCCACTCCAGCAGTCCTATTTTTGTGAAGGGTTTTTTTCAAGATAGGATCTCTCAAACTATTTGCCGGGGCTGGCTTCGACCCTCAATCCTCCGGATCTGTATCCTGAGTAGCTGGGATTACCGGGGCGCCTGCCTCTAATCCTCTAATTTTAACACATTTCAGAAGCGAACCCATCTGAAATGACCGCCAGGTCCAGGGGAAGGAGTGGTGGAAAGGCTGAAAACATCTGTGGCCACGCCTCGTAACACAGGCAACTCCAGGTAACCCTGTGTGCAGTTCATCCTCAGCAACGAACAACTCCACCTTCATGTTTGTGGGTCTGAACTAAAGGTTATTAAATTCCTAAACACAGCTAAGTGGCCCCCAAACTACCCTGCAGTGTTGGCAAGATGGAAATGTGCATTTCCGGCTGCCTGCTGCTTGCAGGGCCTGCGTGAGCGCCAGGCTCCGGGCCTTCCCTGGCCAGGACCCTTTCCTGAGTCCTCAGCTCGGGCAGGAATCCCAGGGGGTGCTCCTCCTCATTCTCAAATTTACACTCCGAGCCCCCAACCTGCTAAAAACCACAGGAATTCCCTATGGGAGCTCTAGGTGGTGGCTTTCCGGGAGGGCCGGGCACCCTCCCCCACCTGCCGCCCCTTCCCCTCGGTCTCTTTGAAGAAAAACTCCCCGCTCGAGGAAGCGGACGTAAACCTCCTGAGGAACCGCCCTGGGAGTGCCACCTAAACCTCATTTCCCTAGGGAAATAATCAGCACCTCTTCCCCCAGACAGCTCCAGGTGAGCGGGTCCCTCCCGGGTCACCTTGGCGCGCTCTACAGTACCGACGTGTGCACAACCGTCTACCGGATGACCACAAGCGCTGCCACCTATTGTCACATTTGGTTCCCAGAACACCCAGGAGGTGGGGAGGGCAGGTATTTCCCACATTTGGTGGAGGGGAGCCCGAGGTCCAGGATCCCCGCCCGCTCTTCTCGGGGTCACGCAGAGTACCGAGGGGAGCCAGTGTCCGCGATCCCCGGGACCCCCGCCCCCAGTCCCCGGCCAAGCCCAACTGCAGCTGCGGTCCCATCGCCCCATTGTCCCCGCAGGCGTCCCGCGGCGCGCACGCGGCCCGGCTCGGCTCAGCTCTGCGGCCGTGCGCACGGCCGCGGAGAGCCCGGGCTCCCGGAACAAAGGCCCGGCCGGCCCGGCGCTCAAAGCCTCCTTTCTTCTCCCTCGCGCCGGGAGAGAGACGGTCCGCGAAAGATCCGGGAGGGGGCGCCGCTGGCCGTCCCCGCGGGCTGGGACAGTCGCACCCTCCCTCCGCCGCCACCCCCAGCCGGACCAGCGCACAAAGAGCGGCGGGGCCGCCCGCGCGCACCTCCCGGCGGGGCGGGGCCGAGGCGGGGCCGGGGGCGGAGCGCTGCGCTGCGCCCGCCTTAAAGGGCGCGTCCGCTCCTCGCCCGTACTGCGCATGCCCGGCCGCGGGGCGGGGCTCGGAACCCGGGTGCTGCGGGCGCGCACGCCCGCGCCACCCGCTGCCGCTATGGCCGGCGTCCCCGCGGTGGCGGCGCGGCGCTCGTGCGTGTGCCAGAGCCCGCGGTGTCCCAGTCCGCGCGCCGGGCGGGTACAGGACCCTGGTGCCGGGCCTTCCAGAGATCGGTGGCGGCCAGGCCAGGCCAGACCCACGCTGTAGTGGGCTTTTGGGTGTCCAGTTTCACTACCACTTGGGCCAAGTGCTGCCCCAAGGGGACAGAAATGCAGGCGCGAGCGCGCGCGCGCGCGGGAGGAGCAGGATGGGCGGGCGTGTGCCTTTGTGTCTCGTGCGCTCCCGCGCAGGTGGGCAGCCCGCGCCCGGAGTCACTCCGCCCAGGCGCCCAGGACTCGAGTCCCGTTTTCCGTTTCCTAGCGCTCGGGCCGCCCTTTGAAAAGGGTAGATGCCAGACTCTGCTCCTAGTGGTCCTGTGGCTCCGGGGATGGTTTATTTGGGGGCGCTAACGGGACTTTCTAGGGACCGCTCTTTCAAGAGCCGGGCCGCTGCCATCCGAGTTGGGCGCGCTTTCTTTTTCTCAAGCCAGGCGAGGGAGGAGACTTGGGGACAGTGATATCCTCGGCTGATAGGTACATACAAGTGTCCCGAGCCTGCCAGTCCCGCACTAGACAACAAAGAGAGGCGTTAGCGGCGGCAGCGGGGGAGGGGCGCGGCCCGGAGGAGCGCGGGGCGGGCTGCGGCGAGCGCGGGGGTGGCGGGGGGTGGGAGGGAGGTGGGTGGGAGGAGGTGGCGCTCGCTCTCCGCTCGCTCTACCCGCGGCCTCCGCCCGCCCCCGGCCCCGGCGCGCGCCAATCGCCTCCCCCAGCGATAGTGTCAGTAGCATTGTAGTGTCAGGCTCCCGCCGGTGACGTTGCGCCTCCCTCGTCCCCCTCCGGAGCCGTCTGGCTGCAGAGGCTCAGTCAAGAGGCGGGTAGGAGAGGAGGAAAAAGCGCTGAGTGAGGGCGGGCGGGCGGGCGGGAGGGAGGGAGGGAGTGGAGGAGCCCGGGGAGGGGCTCCTTAAAGAAACGCTGCTGTCGCTCGCCTGCTCGCTTTTTTCGCTCGGCATTGTGGCCAGCCAGCCGGGCACTCGGGGGGCACGCGCGGCCGCCGCTCGAGCTCTGCCCCCACCCCAACCGCCAGCAGATCTGGGGTGGGGACCCAGCCGGGGGCTCTTGCAGCCACTGCCCGGTGCGCACTGCACCGAGCGACCCACTCCTCCCCGCACCGAGAAAGGAGCCACGGAGCCCTCCGCAGCCGGCCGGCCTCCCCGCCCCTGAACACCCCGCTTCCCGGCTGCCTTTGTGGCTGCAGCTTCAGGCGGCCGAGCCGAGGGCCGGCGGGGGCGCGGCGCGCACGGCGGAGCCATGCCCAGCTCGCTGTTCGCAGACCTGGAGCGCAACGGCAGCGGCGGCGGCGGGGGAGGAGGCGGAGGCGGCGGCGGCAGCGGCGGGGGAGGTGGTGGCGGCGGCGGTGGTGGCGGCAGCAGCGGCGGGGGAGAGACCCTGGATGACCAAAGAGCCCTGCAGCTTGCGCTCGACCAGCTCTCCCTGCTGGGGCTGGACAGTGACGAGGGCGCCTCTCTGTACGACAGCGAGCCGCGCAAGAAGAGCGTGAACATGACCGAGTGTGTGCCGGTGCCCAGTTCCGAGCATGTCGCGGAGATCGTAGGGCGGCAAGGTGGGTCCGGCAGACATGGGGAGATGATGGGTGGGTAGGGTCTCGGGCCACCGCCTGGCTGGGAGGGCGTGTGCTGGATCGCGATCCGTGGCGCTGGGGAGCCTTGCAGAGGGAGGGAGAGTCGCGCGATGGGCCGGCGCCCCAGACAAAGAAAGTGCAGGCAGGCTGGCTCCCAGAGCCGCGCTGCTGCAGGGCAGGATGCACTTTCTCCTGCTAAAATCACTGCCTTCTCCCCTAGCGCCCCCCACTCTACCCACCCTGGGAAAGATAATTTAAATAGAGGCTTGGGGGAGGGGGTCTTTGATCGGTCCTTTGGGAGGGGTGGGGGAGGAGGAGGAGGAGTGAGCTTTGGATGGGAGGAGGATTCTAGATTTCTGCAAAGCGAAATGGAGTCCAGAGGAGGAACAATGGGTCCTGGGACTGCCGCCCCCTCTGGACCCCCCCAAGCCCCCCAGCTCTGGGGAATCGCGGCTTGGGCCACCCTTCCCGTGAGCCCCTTTGGTCGGTGTCTTCAAGGCAGTCGGCGCGTCCAGCTGGATCCTGGCGGCTTTTCCCCAGATGACTTTTCTGGGATTCTGGGGTTTGGCTTGGGACGACTGCAGTCACTGGGGGAGGGCCAGGCAGCCAATGGGCTGTCCCTGTCCCTCCAGCGCCTCGCGGGAGGAACCCGCTGCTCAGCCCGTGGTGCGGCTCGGGGTCAGCGAGGGAGACGCCCCCTTTCCTCCCATCGCGTGCTCGGCTGTCCCGCTGCCCAGGCTGCGCGCAGTGTCCCCGGTCCCCGCGGATACCCCGGGATAATGGGCGTGTCTGTCTCTCTCCCCCACCCCCTCCCCCGCACCCCGGCTCCCAGGTTGTAAAATCAAAGCTCTGCGGGCGAAGACCAACACTTACATCAAGACCCCAGTTCGCGGGGAGGAGCCAGTCTTTGTTGTGACGGGCAGGAAGGAAGATGTAGCCATGGCTCGGAGGGAGATCATCTCCGCCGCCGAACACTTCTCCATGATCCGCGCCTCGCGGAATAAGAACACGGCTCTCAACGGTGCGGTGCCGGGGCCGCCCAACCTACCTGGGCAGACCACCATCCAAGTGCGGGTTCCTTACCGCGTGGTGGGGCTGGTGGTGGGGCCCAAGGGCGCCACGATCAAGCGCATCCAGCAGCAGACGCACACGTACATCGTGACGCCCAGCCGCGACAAGGAGCCGGTGTTCGAGGTGACCGGCATGCCGGAGAACGTGGATCGCGCCCGCGAGGAGATCGAGGCGCACATCGCGCTGCGCACCGGCGGGATCATTGAGCTCACAGACGAGAACGACTTCCACGCCAACGGCACAGACGTGGGCTTCGATCTGCATCACGGATCCGGCGGGTCCGGTCCAGGCAGCCTCTGGAGCAAGCCCACCCCCAGCATTACCCCTACCCCTGGGCGCAAGCCCTTCTCCAGCTACCGCAACGACAGCTCCAGCTCGTTGGGCAGCGCCTCTACAGACTCTTACTTCGGTGGGGGGACCAGCGGCAGCGCAGCCGCCACCCCGCGCCTGGCGGACTACAGCCCCCCCAGCCCTGCGCTCAGCTTTGCGCACAATGGGAACAACAGCAATGGCAATGGGTACACCTACTCGGCCGGGGAAGTCTCAGTGCCTTCCCCCGAAGGCTGTCCGGAGCTGCAGCCCACCTTCGATCCGGCTCCCGCCCCCCCACCCGGGGCGCCCCTCCTCTGGGCCCAGTTCGAGCGCTCTCCTGGAGGCGGACCTGCGGCTCCTGTGTCCTCTTCCTGCTCTTCCTCTGCATCCTCGTCGGCTTCGTCATCCTCGGTGGTCTTTCCCGGGGGTGGTGCCAGCGCGCCCTCCAATGCCAACCTGGGGCTGCTGGTGCACCGGCGGCTGCACCCTGGCACCAGCTGCCCGCGTCTGTCTCCACCTTTGCACATGGCCCCGGGGGCGGGCGAGCACCACCTGGCTCGCCGGGTGCGCAGCGACCCTGGTGGAGGAGGCCTGGCCTACGCCGCCTATGCCAACGGGCTAGGGGCGCAACTCCCGGGCTTGCAGCCCTCGGACACGTCGGGCTCGTCCTCGTCGTCCAGCTCCTCCTCCAGCTCGTCGTCCTCTTCCTCCGGGCTGCGGAGGAAGGGCAGTCGCGACTGCTCCGTGTGCTTCGAGAGCGAGGTGATCGCGGCGCTGGTGCCCTGCGGTCATAACCTCTTCTGCATGGAGTGCGCCAACCGCATCTGTGAGAAGAGCGAGCCCGAGTGCCCGGTGTGCCACACCGCGGTCACACAGGCCATCCGCATCTTTTCCTGAAGGCTGCGCGCCTGCGCGCACGGTGTGCTGCGCTGCGGTGCGGTGCAGGGGAAGCGGGTCGCGCTCCCTCCACCCTCGCTCTCCTGCCAGCCAAGCCAGGCCTGGCCTATATGGTGCCCCACCTTCTGTTTCCGCCCCATACCTCTCACACTCTGAGATCCGAGAGGAGCTTGCAAAAGCTGCAGTATCCGCTTTTTTTTTTTTTTTTTAAGAAAATGTAACTTTTACACAAAGGAACTTAACCAGTATATCTGCATCAAGAAAGAGTATAAGGTAGCCTGGAAAAGCTCCAACCCCCCCCCCCCCCCAAATGCATGCTCTATAAATAATAGGAACCGCGACATTCTCGTTCGTAAGGCTAGTTTTTACACTGTACTTAATAGGATGCTTCCAGATGAAGAAAGCCCCCACGACTTTTCCATTTCCTTAAAGTAGGGGAAAAAATGAACAATAATTATGACGATGAAGAAGATGACAGTAATCACGATGAGACGTGTGGACAATTCCTGTGTTTCCCTTTTGCATCTCGCATTGTAGAACACACAGCGGATCCTTTGTGAATGTTCGTGGAAGGGTCCGGAGTTCCTGACAAGCCAGGATACTGCAGCTTTATTGAAGAAACTGTAACATAGCTCTTATATATTAAAAAAAAAACCTTTAAAAGTTTTAAAAGAGAGATTGCATTAATACAGATTGAAGTATTTTATTCTTTTTTGACTTGAAAAATTATATTTCATATTGCAAAGATGTTTACAAGTATTTTAATTTAAGTTCAGTGAACTTTTTTGTAGCTGGGTTAAATCTTTTTATTTTTTAGTATGGCCTTATGGCAAAGAACACTGTATTATTTTAATAATCACACACTTGTGACGGAATTACAAACCATAAAATGTGTAATGTTTTGAGCAGTATTCTATTGGGCTGGAGATTTTTTATAGGTTCAGACAAATCTTCTACGTCTGCTTCACCCAGCATATTTTCTATTCAGTGATAGAAAGCATATTTTATTCTATATTATTACAAAAAAAAAACAGAAATGTATAAAACATGTCAAAAGGAACCAATCAATGATTTCTAACATTTGTATAAATAGAATTCAGTGCAAGTTACAAAAATTCTGTTGCACCACTCTAGTTTTTAGTACCTATTTTAATACATTTGTTTATACCACCTGTTTATGTATATGTAGGTGATGTTACTTGAGCTTAAATGTACTTTACTGAGCAAAGTTTAAAAAAAAACAAAGTATATTTTATTTTATGATAAAGGGCCTTTAACCTCACGGTCAAATACTAATATTATATTTGCTGAGACAAGATTTGAAAATTGTATCAAGAGTTTTATTTTTCTGACATTTAGAGTTCTACATAATAAAGGTAAAACTTAAGTAATGGTGCTACTTCATTTTTTAAGTATTTCTATATAAATAAAATATTGAAGAAAATCTATGTTGTATGGTGATTTGATTTTTTTTTAAAGCTCCTTGGAATCTAACAGTATAAAGAATTACTTGTGAGTGTCAGGTTGAAATAGGTGACTTCTAGGTGCATTATGTGAATATTTTATCAATGGAATGGTTTCAAAAGAGAGCAGAATTGTGTTTGGTTGGATGGATGACCACAGGCTAACAGCATTTTTCTTTTCTTCTTTTTCTTTTTTTTTTAAATTACAAATAGTTAGTGAATTAGGACCTAAGTTCTCCACGAGACACGGGGGTCCACGATAACTTGGGGAGTCCAGGAAAGTATTTTCTTTAATTTCTTAAAACTAGAACACACACAAAAAGAAATGGCAATAGTCTAAAGAGATGCTTTAATTTCAAGCCCAATTTAAGAGTTTGCCTAAAACATTTTAAAATGAAGGCTTGAAGTATTTCAAGTGCAATCAAATTCAAGGGGCCCAAAGGTGACTGAGGAAAGTCATGATGCTGCCCAGCTTGAGGCCTGGGAGCACAGGGGGTCCAGGCCTATGTCTGCTCTGTTGCATGGGACGTGGGTCTCAGCACTGCTGTAGGTTTCCATGGAGGACCACTTTCTTTGGGGAAGCCGGAGAAGGGAAAAGGGAGCTCCAGCTTGCTAGGGCCTTGCTGCAGCGAGCTTGGGTCTAATAGGCTTCTGCCTGCAGGCCAAGCTAATTGGGGTTGGCAGACTTTGGGTGTTAAAGCTGTTTGTTGTTGCTTGAGGGAAGTTTTTGTTTGCTTTTGGCAGGCTACACCTGTTCCCCGGCTGTGGGGCTTTGGCAAGGGGAGGAACGTGTGCTTTCACTTGACTCGAACTTGGTCTTCTAAAGACTATTGGGAAATGATCAGACCTTGCCACCGAGTGACTTTCTAGCCAACTGTCAGACTGAGCAGCTCTGGAGGACAGGATGCGACTGGAGTGGCAGGAGTATGCTTTAACCTCAGCAGGTGAATCCAAAGAGAAGCTGTGACAAATGTTGACGGAGTGTGTACTGAGCAGGGGATTTGGCCACCGCCTGCTTAGTTCCTGGTTGGTTTGGTTTAAATGGTACTGCGTAAAGGCATAGACAGGCCTTGGGGTGGGAGGAGAGAAGGGAGTGGCTGTGCTTGGAGGATTTCTGGATTTGTCTTCATCTCAGGTAGCATTTAGCCCTTTTCCTCTTTATCAAGGACAGAAGGTTAACTGAGGCCTGGCAGGGAGAGGAGTTACCAAGTCTAACCCTGTCCCTTTAGCTGAATGGAAATGCCTCGCACAGAACGAGGAGTAACCAGACTACCTCTCTGCTATAACAGAAGGATTGCAGGCTGCACAAGGAAAAAATAAAACACCTTGATACATAGGTTTGGTTTCTCAGGCCTCCCCATGATCACTTAAGAGTTTTTTTCTTTGTGGTCGATAGGCTGCTTTGGCAAAAGAAAAAAGGATTTTAGAGGCTGCTGAGTCCCCTCGGTTGACCTGTATTCTTTGTTGTTGGTACTGGGATTTGAACTCACAGCTTCATGCTTGCAAAGCAGGTGCTCTACTGCTTGAGCCATACCTCCAGTCTGCTTTTCTCTGGTTATTTTAGAGACAGGATTTCGAGAACTATTTGCCCCACCTGCCTTGAAATATGGTCCTCCTGATCTCAGCCTTCCAAGTAGCTAGGATTACAAGTGTGAGTCACCAGTGATGGCTGACCTGTATTTCTTTTTTCTTTTTTATTATTGTGCTGGGTGGGGGTACATTGTAGCAGTTATAAAAGTTCTTACAATGTATCAAATATATCATACTTGAATTCACCCCCTCCACTGATCTCCTTTGTCCCCTGCCCTCCGCCCTCACCTGTATTTCTTCTCAGTGAGAGGGAACCTGTGTTGACATGAAGTTTGGGATGTATTATTAGTACGTCAGGCTTTTTCAGAGGACAGATTTCTCGCTATTATGGGATTCTCCTGCTGAGCCCAGGCCCCTGTCACCGGCAGGGGATATATGGACATACCAGTGATATCAGATGACATTGGTTTTGTGTCTAAATTAAGCCTTTTGCTTTATCCTCCAGCTTCCCCAGGTGACTACTGTGGACCCCAAGATGAGAGGTGTCCTCCAAATGCTGCCTTTCCTATTTGTCCAGCCCTCAGAACTCTGTAGCAGCAAGGCCAGCTAACAAACGTCTCTTCCCTTTTCATGTAGAATAATGGTTTTCTACGGGGTTGATTTTTCAATCCACCTTCCCCCGTTGGGCACTCTCTGGAGACATTTTTGGCAATCATAAAATAGCCAGTTGTACTGGCAGTCAGTGGGCAGAGGCCAGGGGTGCTGTCAAACGTCCTTCCATGCCTGGAGCAGTCCTACAACAAAGATGCTTGGGCTGCAGCTTTCTCAGCGCTGAGGCAGACCAAGTCTTCCCTGCTGTTCCCTCACTGCCTTGACACTGCTGCTGTTGGGTCCACATGCAAGGGCCTAAAAGGCTGACCCTTGATGGCTTTCTGGGATTACCCGCTACCCCAGCCCTGTGAAGCCCTGGTTATTGTGGGAGGTCACAAGCAAGCGACTCTTTTTATTGACCAAGAAGTGGTCCATCACGATCAGTCAATAATAAGACTGCTTATGTGACCATTTCCATCACCTTCTTCACAACCGTGTACATCAGGACTGAGATTTCGCCGTGCCTGTTTGCAGTGAAGCACAAATACTCAAAAAACGGTGCCCCCTAGACTCACACCTGGACTTTCCTTTTTTGAAAATTTTATTTTTTGTGGCACTGGGGTTTGAACTCAAGGCCTTCACTTTGAGCCACTCCACCAGTCCTTCCTTTTTTGTGATGGTTTTTTTCAAGATAGGGTCTTGTGAACTATTTGCCCAGGCTGGCTTTGAACCATGATCCTCCTGATCTCTGCCTCCTGCATAGCTAGGATTACAGACGGCCGGCATATCTGGAGTTTCTAACTGCAACTCGAGCACTTTCTTTCTTGTCAGGTTCTCAGCAAATTAATAGAAAAGACAAATTTATAGAGAAGTGCTTAAAGTGCTCCATGTGAATGTGTGCTGGCACCGCCATCGCTATTTTGTGGGTCCCCCCTTATTCCACCAAGATTGGGGAAAATGACATCTGTAGTGAATTTCAGCCACCAAGGGATTCAGAGTTTTCATTACTTAAGTCTTGTTTTTCCAGGAAATATGAATTTGTCCTGGTGAATGGGGGTTGAGCCTGTTAGCCATACGATAATCTGAAAATTCCATGGGAAGGTAACTTGGGAAGAGATGAAAATTATATTGGTTACACCCACTCTTCTTTGTTGTGGTGTTTTTTTTATTTGGGTTGAGACAGGGTCTCACTTCTGTAGCTCAGCTTAGCCTCAAACTTCCCATCTTCTTGCCTCAGCCTCCTGAAGGCTGAGATTGCAGGTGAGCCACCAGCAGAGTGTACACTCGCTCTTCATCACCTTAAGGGGGTCATACTCTTCCCGTTAGGAGGAAGGGCCCTTTGAATGCTGCAGTCTGCCTCCTTTTGACCCCTCTCTTTTCTCTGAGCTTGCCCACCAGTGATCCTTACGATGCGGAAGATTCCTTCCCCCATGGTGAAGGCCGCTGCTTCCCAGAGAGGGGAGAGTGGTGGGGAGTCAAGCATTCCCTTCATTGCTCACAGAATATC